CTTCCTAATTGACATATTTTGCAATAACATATGATAGAAAACAAATACGGACCACAAGACTGAAGACATTTAAAACAGAAGAGCAAACTATAGCAGGAATCCCTGCGTTACGTTATCAAACTATTCTCTCCTTCTTATAGCACCCAGAGCATAATTTCAGTGAGTGTAGAGTTACATCAGACACATTCTCCAGAGGTTACTTGAGTGTGTCTCGTGTGTTTATTTGAGAGTCTAGACAAAAGACATGCCTTAAATGTATACAAAATCTACCAAGAAGAATCATTTCGTAAGTCCCTGGGAATGAATCAGGTGACAGTCATCCAGATCTTAAAATTAGTATTGCTTGGTAGTAAAATGAACTAAGTCAGTACATTGCTACAGTTGGAGACACAGATTACATATTTGAAAGTAATACTCTTAGCTCATTGGAACTGCACGGGACATATGCACGTTGAATTGAATAAAACTAAAATTAAAAAAAAATTATGTAGCACCAACAGCACTGTACAACAGGACAAAGACAAACATTTAATTCTAATAAAAATTGTAGGACATATGGCAACAGTAGGTGAACAGCTTACAATTTGCCCAAACGAGCTTACAATTTGTCAAATATTATGACCTGAGACTGAATCTTGAAGATAATATAGCCCGGTAAGCTCAAAATGTAGATCCCCAGATGTTTTAAAACTACAGCTTCCATGATGCCTTGTCATTATAAAGGCATGCAAAGACACACAAAACATCATGGGAATCGTAGTTCTTTTTTTTTTTTTTTTGACATTCTTTATTTAGTTTTGTGGTTTGACAATATGTAACAGTACAAACATTTGTTTCCATAACAGTGTTTCGCTAATGACCCCTTTTGGCATACCCCTTCTCATATCTCCCCCCCTGCTGAGGTATGAGCCTGCTATTAGGGCTCAGCTGGTGGCTGGGTCCTCACTGGACGGCAGGGACAGCCCCCCGGGGACCATTAGGGGTGCCGTTACTCCCATTCCCCTCTCTCCATCCTGCGCCCCCGCCCCACAGTCTCGGGCCCCATGCGGGGAGGGTTGTGGGTAGAGCGGTGATTAGTTGAGGATGCGACTCGTTGCGCGGTTGGGTTGGGGTGATAGGTGTGCGGGTCTGGGTGTTATAGCGTCCCAGCGCAATCCTGGAAAGAAAGGGACGCCCCTAATTCGTCTGCATCGCCTAGGTCTTGGTCGGGGATAAGGGGTCCGTGTGCAGGCCACTCCCCTGGGTGGTCGAGTCGGGGCCACGTCAGGACCTTCTGGATCCCTCTGGGGGCTGTCAGGTGTTAGGGCCTGGTGGTGTCATGTGAGCCCTAGCCGCCCCACGGGGCCAGTGCGTGTGGGGCGAGCTCCCTTTGGGCATCCGTCTAGGTGTGCGCATCGAGTGCGTCTCTCCCTACTCAATCTCTCTCTAGCTCATAACCGCCTATGTGGGCTGGGTTGGTTATGTTGTGTGCGTGGCGCCATTGGTCCCTATCAAGGCCAAACCTGGGTTGTGCGGGGTTAGTCTTGTGACGGTGGGATCCAGACCGAATGTAACGGGTCCTTTGTTTTAATAGGGGGAGTTAGCCGGGTCCCCCTGGGTGCTGGTGCAGGGAAGGAGTGGGGAAAGGGGGGAGCGAGAACGAGAAAAAAAAAAGGGAGGGCCCTGCGCCCCGTGGTCTCCCATTAACCGTCCCCAGCCTCTCTCCCAGGCCCCTGATGGGCCGGCGCCCCCCGCCCACGGCCAGCCATATAGGTGATCCAGGGGGTCCACAGTTGGGTGCAGCGCTCCTGTGTTCCCCGTAGCTCAGCCGTGAGGGTATCCATCGTGTATATATCGTCTACCTTATCTAGCCATTGGGATATCGTGGGAACGTCTGTCGACTTCCATCTGGCGGGGATCAGGCTCTTGGCAGCATTGAGGAAGTGCCGAATTAGAGATTTTTTGTAGCGTGGTATTGTCATTTGCGTGTGGTTGAGTAACATAGGCATGGGTTCCATGGGGATATCTTCTTCTAGGATTTCCACGAGTTTGTCATGGATCTGTTGCCAGTAACCTGTGATCCGAGGGCATGTCCACTAGACATGCAGGTCTGTACCTTAAGCGGCTGTGCATCGCCAACATGAGTCGTCAGATGTCAGCCCCATGGACCTCAGTTTGGACGGGGTCCTGTACCAGCAGGTCAAGACTTTGTAGTTAAGTTCTCTCATTTTGGTACTTAGTATCTCTTGGTGCGTGAGAATGTGAATCTTCTCCCATTGCTGGTCCGTCAGGACGACCCCCGTTGCCTGTTCCCACTTGGAGTGGAAATGCGCCGGCGCCCCCTGGTCAGCAGCCAAGAGCATTGCATAGAGCGTCGATATTCCGCGGGTCAAATGTTCTTCGCTGGAGCAGAAAGTCTCGAATTGCGTGGGGTCTCTGTGCAGTAACTGTTTCCCTTGGAGGGTGGCGTATTAATGCTTAACTTGGTGGTAACGGAATTGGAGTAGGCCTGTGGGCCTAGTTTGCGCTGTCAGAGCGGTGTAGGTTTTCATTCCTGTCCTGGTACACCATGCCCGGAGGTGCTGGGCCTCCCTCCCTGCGAAGCCGTCCACGTCCTGCATTCGCAGTCCGTCAGCCAGGTCGGGGTTGTATATAACCGGCGTCATGGGTGCGGGGTAGGTCGTGAGCTGCAACTTGTAGCGGATGTTCGACCATATCCTCAGAGTCGCCCCAATAAAGGGGTGGCGTCTGAGTTCCTGGTCTCTCATCGGGGCCCGCGTCCATACCACCGGCGGGATCCGTCCCTTCGCCCACGTCAGATCCAGCTGAACCCATTGTTTGTCCGTGACTGACACATGCCAATCGACGACGCGGGAGAGGAGGGAGGCCTGGTAGTATCCCTGTATGGACGGTAGGCCCGTGCCTCCACGATGCTTCGGGAGGATGAGCTGCGCCCTCCTCACTCTCGGGGGACCTACGACCATACGAATTTCAGTATCGCGGAGTCCAGGGATCGGAAGAAGGCTTGCGGGAGAGCTATTGGAATGGTCTG